GGTCTCCCTAGCCTAAGATGACCTTGAACTTGTGATCCTCCTGGCTCCAAATCCCAAGTGCTAGAATTATAGACATGTGCTACCACACTTGAACCTACATATTTTTTTTTTAAGAGTAGTAGTAGACTGCTAGCTTATAAGTGAAATTTGGGCTCAACATAGTTTGTGTGTGTGTGTGTGTGTATGTATGTATGAGACAGGTCTCACTATACAGCCCAGGCTGTCCTAGAATAGCACAGGCTGACCTCAAACTCATGATCTTCCTGCTTCAGCCTCTCAAGTACTGAGATCACCATTGTGCCAGGCTCCGACATACTCTTTTTAAAATTATTTTTGTGTGTATGAGTGAATTGCCTGCATGTATGTAAGTGTACCCGTGTCATGCAATGCCCATGGAAGTCACAGAGAGCATCGGATCCCCTGGAACTGGAATTACAGGCATTGTCAGCTACCATGTGAGTGCTGGGAACTGAACCCAGGTCCTATGCAAGAGCAGTCAGTACTCTTAATTGCTGAGTCATCTCTCTAGTACCTCCAACATACATTTGAATTACAGTAATTGCAGTTAAGCTGACTGGAGGGGCTCTTTAGTCAGTTAACTGATTAGTTGTACAGAATCAATTAAGTTGTAACCACTGACTGACAAATTAATATAGTAATTAAGGTGTTTGCCTCTTTTTTTTCTTTTTTTTTTTTTTGGTTTTTTGAGACAGGGTCTCCCTGTAGATCTCACTATATAGATCAGGCCAGACTGGAACTCATAGAGATTTGCTTGCCTCTGCCTCCCAAGTGCTCGGACTAAAGGTGTACACCACCATGCCTGGCATGGTTGCATGTCTTAATACCAGCACTCAGAAGGTTAAGGCATAAAGATTGTGAGTTTGAGGCCAGATTGACTACAAAGCAAGATTTTGTCTCAAAACAGGTGGGAAAAAGAAGAAACAAAAGAGAAAAGGCTAGGTATGGTAACATATGCCTATAATTCTAATATGAGGGAGGCTGAGGCAGGAACAAAGCAAAAACCAACCGAAAACAACAACAAAAAAACCTACCTCTTTACAAACCTGAAGACCTTCTTTAACCTCCTTTACGTGACTGAAATTTTTTTTTTTTTTTTTTGGTCTTTTTTTGAGACAGGGTCTCCCTGTAGCCCCAGCTGTCCTGGAACTCACAATGTAGACCAGGCTGGCCTCAAACTCACAGAGATCTGCCTGCCTCTGCCTCTCGAGTGCTGGCATCAAAGGCGTGCACCACTATGCTCTGTGTGTGACTGAAAATTTAAGGCAACATCATACCTCATGTTAGTAGCCACAGTAAGATGACAATGCCCCATTGCTGCTGCCAGGGAGGCTCTTTCTTCCCTGTGGACTCAAGAGCTAATGGCACAAATCACCCATGTGGCTATGTCACTATATTTTTATGTTTTGTTGATTATGTTTTTTTCAGGATTTTTGAGTCCATCTCCCTGTAGCCCTCCTGCCTGGCCTGGAACTCATTACACAGACCAGGCTGGCCTTGATCTCAGAGATTTGCCTGCCTCTACTTCCTGAGTGCTTAGATTAAAGGCATGTGCCACTATGCCTTGATGATTATAATTTCTTTTTAATTATTATTTTTATTTTATGTCCGTGAGTATTAATGCCTGTACCTGTGTCATGCAATGCCCTAGGAGGACAGAAGAGGGCATTGGATTCCCTGGAACTGGAGTTACAGACAGTAGTTTTTAGCCACGATGTGGGTACTGGGACTTGAACCCAGATCTTCTGCAAGAACTGCCAGTGCTCTTAACTGCTGAACCACATCTCCAGTCCTGATTACAACTTTTTAAAGATTTGCTTATTGCCAAGCATGATATTGCACGTCTTTAGCCCCAGCACATGGGCGGCAGAGGCAGGCAGATCTCTGAGTTCAAAGGCCAGCCTGAGTTCTAGGCCAGGTAGGGCTACAGGGAAGACCGTGTCTCAAAAAGATTGAAAAAAAAAAAAAAAATTTGCTTATTTATTTGTTTGTGTGTGTCCCAGTGTATATATGTGTAACACATGTGTGCAGGTGCTGGGGAGATGTCAGATGTCCTGGAACTGGAGTTATAGGTGGTTGTGAGCCACCCAATATGGATGCTGAGAACCAAACACAAGTTCTCTGCAAAAGCAAGTGCTCTTAACTGCTGAGCCATCTCTCCAGCCCATATAAATACAATATTTTATTTGTTTGAAACAGGGTCTTGCTATGTAGCTCTAGCTGGTCTTGAATTCTCAATTCACCTGCCTCAGCCTCCTAAGTGCTGAAATTACAGGGGTGCACCACCACACTTTCCTGATTGCAATTTAAATACCTTAAAATGCACTATTCTACTATCCTTATGTAATGCAACTGTTCTTAGTAAATTTATGGAATTGTGAAACCATCAGCACAATCCTATTTTAGAAATGCTGCATCACCCCAAAAGTTCCTGGGGCCCATTTGTAGTCACTTCCCACCCCCTCCACAGGCAGCCACTGATCTGCTTGTGTTTCTATAAATGTGGCAATTCTAAACATTTCTTGTGCATGAACTCATTCAATGTGGCTTTTGTGACTGACTTCTAGCACGTTTCCCAGGTTCATCCATGCTGTAGAACACATCAGCACCCTGTTTCTTTCTTTTTTCCCATTTCCTTTTATTACTCAACAATATTCCATTGTGTAGATGTGTTTATCCATTCACCAGTTGATAGATATTTGGTTATTTCCAATCTTTGGCTGTCGTGATTAATGCTGGTACTATGAACACTTGCACACAAGCTTTTTTGTGTACATATGCATTCATTTCTCTTGGGTAGACACCTAGGAAAAGAACTGATAGGCCCTATGATAAAATTTATGATTTTTTTTAAGGAAACTGTCAGTATGGTTTAATTTTTTTATTCTTTTAGAATTACATTTGATTTATCAGTGTGTGTATGTGTGTACATGCATGTATGGAAGTCAGAGGACAACCAGCAGGAATAAGTTCTCTCCTTCCACCATGTGGGTCCCGGGGATTGAACTCAGGTTGTCAGGCCCGGTAATAAGTACTTTCATGTAATGAGACATTTTGCTTGCTTGCCGATTTTTTTTTTTTTTTTTTTTGGTCCTTTTTAAGAAGGGCCTACCTGTAGCCCCAGCTGTCCTAGAACTCACTATGTAGATCAGGCTGGCCTTGAACTCACAGAGATCCGCCTGCCTCTGCCTCCCAAGTGCTGGGCCTACAGGCATGCGCCACCACACCCGGCTGCTTGCCAAATTTTTCTATTTAACTTTAATTAAAAAAATTTTTTTACATGGGGCTTCTACAAGTGAACTCACAGCCCTTCTTCCTCAGCCTGCTAAGGGCTGAGATTATGTCACCACACCTGGCAATTCTTATTTTTTGTATGTAGTACTTGTGATTTAATGTTAAAAAAATAGGCTGAGGGTATAACTCAGTTTAAGAGTGCTTGTCTAATATACATAATGCTCTCTGGGTCTGATCCTCAGCAGTGTCAAAAAACAGGGTAGGAGAAGAAAAAGAAAAAAAAAATGTAAGAATAATTTCAAGTATATAAAGCAGGCATGATGGTGCAGGTCTGTAATCCCAGCTACTCAGGAGGTTGAGGCAGGAGGTCACAAGTTCAATGCCTGCCTGGGCCACACAGCAAGTTCATGGCCAGTTCCTAGGCATCTTTGGGTATTTTTGCTGCTGTTTGCTTGCTTGACTGCTTGCTCGCTTTGAGACAGGGCCTCACTATGTAGCCCAAGCTGGTCTTAAACTCAGCCTTCCTCCTGCCTCCATCTCCTAGCTGCAGGGATTATAGGAATATATCATTACACTTGACTCAGTTTGGACAATTTATTGAGAAACCGTCTCAAAGTAAAAAAGTAAAAAGTGGGAGCTGGCGCACGCCTATAGTCCCAGCATTTGGGAGGCAGAGACAGGTGGATCTCTGTGAGTTCAAGGCCAGCCTGGTCTACATGATGAGTTCCAGGCCAGATGGGGCTACAGCAGGGAGATCCTGTTTCAAAAAAAAAAAAAAAAAAAAGTGGGGGGCTGGAGAGATGGCTTAGCAGTTAAGAGTGAATACTGACTCAAGGTCAGTTCCCAGCACCTACATCTAGCAGCTCACAACCACCTGTAACTCCAGCTGCAGGGGATCTAACACCCTTTTCTGGCCTCCAAGGGCACTGTACACACATGCACAGATGCATACACATATACATAATTTAAAATGAAAATCTTTTTTAAAAAGTAAAAAGGGGGCTGGAGAGATGATTCAGCAGTTAAGAGTACTTGCTATTCTTCCAGAGAATCCAGGTTTGGATCGCAGCACCCACACAGCAGCTAAGAACCATTCAAAACTCCAATTCCAGGGGATCCCTCTTCTGGCCTCCATGGGCATTGCATGCACAAGTGCACTTACATACCTGCAGGCAAAACACTAATACATTCTAAAATACAAATAAAACAAAAATTTTTTTAAAGTGAAAAGGAAAGCTGGGTGTGGTGGCACACATATCTTTAATCCCAGCACTCAGGTGACAGAGGCAGGTGGATCTCTGAGATTGAGGCTAGCCTGATCTACATAATGAGTTCTAGGCCATCTGGGGCTACAGAAAGACCCTGTCTCAAAAAGGGGAGGGGGGACAGTTAAGAGTTTGGGAATACAGTTCAGTGATAGAGGGCTTGCCTAGCATTTGTGAAACCCTCTGTTCAATATCCAGCCTCACAAACAAAAAACTACACAAGAGAAAGGATGGAAGGAAATACACATTTTTGTTGCTCTAAATGAAAAACATTTTATGAATGAGTTTTTTTTTTCCTTTTCAACACTGATTTTCTTGTTCTTTTTCAATGCTAAGTTTTCTAAATAAGCATATATGAATTTTCATTCTGATTATCAAAGTAAGTAAAAGAAGGGAAGGGGAAGACAAGGGAAGAGAAGGAGGGAATGAGGGAATGAGAGTGGAGGCAAGGAAGACAAGAGACCCTTTAACTGTTCATCTCACCTCAAAGAGGAGGCTGAATGCATCCTCCTCTTGACTTGTGAGGTGGACCGACAAGCCCTTAATGAAGACCCCTTGAGGGTTTTCCACGATGGTCATTGGTGTGACTGAGGGTCCAACATAGGGCAGAGTGGACAGGAGATCAAACAGGCTCTCATTATAGATTTCCAGGTAGGAAACACGTACAGTGATGGCTTGTGTGGGGTGCTCTTCAATCATCCTAAAAACCTAGATAGGAGATTTTATAGCAGTCACCAAGAGCAGAACTCCACAGTCAACTAGTTAGTATTAAACTGCTTCTTCCTTCAGGAGAGAACAACAGGAAATGTAAGACAGTTCTTGTCCTAAAGGGATTTACAGTCTACTGATATCTTGGTCATGATCATCAATTATTATTATTAGTAGTTTACTGGATGATATTAATAATCAACTTCTGGGTTTTGCTGTGTTTTTCTGTTTGTTTGTTTGTTTGCTTGCTTGCTTGTTTTTTTGGCAGAGTCCTATACTGTATCCTAGAATGGCTGGAACTCAAAATGTAGCCCAAGGTAATCTCAAACACACTATCTTCCTGCTTCAGCCCCCCAAGAACTGGGATTACAAGTGTGTCCCACCACGATCAGCTAGAGATAATGAAGTTTGTTTGTTTGTTGAGACAGAGTCTCATAGCCCAAGTTGTTCTGGAATTCTCAATGTAGTCAAGGATGACATTGAACTTCTGATCCTCTTGCCTCCATCTCCTAAATGCTGGGATTACAGGTACATGCCACTATGCCTGGTTTTATGTGGTACTGGGGATCAAATCCAGGACTATGTGCATACCAGGCAGGCACTCTACCAGTTGAGTTATACTCCTAGCCTTGAGATATTGAAGTTCTGAATATGGGATATAAGCATATTACTTTGAAAACTGAGACATGGGTGTTTTTTTATATTAAAAGGATGTCTACACTTCTTACAGGACAGTGGTATAAAACCATAAACATTTTGGGAGAAAGGCCCTTTGCTTCCTACCTCTAACCAGAGGGTCCTCACAGAACCTGGGTTAGGAGGCCCCAGAGGAAGGTCCTTCTGCCCACTCTCTGTTTACTTCCCTGATTCATGGCTGACACAGTCTGGAAAGCTCAGGTCATGTCCTGCTCCTCAACTTTACTCTTTCAAGGGTTATGGAATGGAAGAAAGCAGAGCAAGCAATAAGGAAGTTCTGAAAGGGCTGCATTCCCTTCATTAAAACCAGGAAAGAACAAGATTAGAGCCTCCAAATCCTTAATTACAAGATCACAGACTGTAGGAGCAGCAGGAGGCTGATTAGCATGCCTGCTCCTTCTTTTACAAATGAGGAAACTGGCTTCTTGTGGGTGTGGGTCAGTCTGAAAACCAAAGCCCTAGTTTCCAGCCATGAGTACCTTATTTCTGGCACCAGTGCTAGCTCTAACTCTTTTGAGGGCAGAGAAGAGGGAAGCTGCCTAGCACCCCACCCATGAGCCCATTCTCTACCTGCTGCAGGGCACGAGGGAGGATCCCCCGGTGTTTGTAATTCTCAGTGGCCCCCGTCATGGTGTATGTCTTGCCAGCTCCTGTCTGCCCATAACACATGATGGTGCCTGCAAACATTTCAAAATATGTCTGGGTGACATTCAGAAAAATAGTTCCATGGACAGCTCATATCCTCAACATGCTTGGGGGCCATTCAGCACTCTTGGTGTGAAAGTAGCCAGTAGAAACATCCAAGGACATCAGGAATTCCATCATGAAAGAGGGCAAGTGGACAGGGGAACAGGGACAAAAACAATCAAAACATGATCCTGTGCCTTCAATCTATGTCCTGCAGTGCTCTGTTCTGTTCCCAGGTGAGCTGGTCCTACAGTTTCTGAGAACAGAATCTCAGGGAATAGAGAAACTGGAATTTTTCTTGAAAAGAACAGGAGGAAGCAGGAGCATTAGACTCTCTTCTGGAGTGAGGCCATGAACTGCATGGTCTCAGAGCTAGCAGGAGGTACCCTCAGACATAAGAGAGGTTCTCCAAATCTCTAGGAAGAGATGGACTAAGAAGGGGATTTTTGTCAATGGTGAGCTTTTTTATTTGTCTTTTTGTTTGAGACAGGGTCTCACGTAGTCCAGGTTGGCATCAAGCTCACTATGTAGCAAAGAATAACTTTGAACTCCTGATCCTCCTGACTCCACCTCCCCAGTGCTGGGATTACATGCCGGCTAAGAAAATTATTTATAGGCTGCAAGTTCCCACAGAATAAAACAGAGTTTCTAGTTGGTACTGTACATGCTACATTCAGAAATGGACTACCATGATTGGGCCGTGAACTGCACCCACTGCCCACCCTGCACCTTTCACATCATCACCACCAATACACTCTGGGACACAAACCATAGTCACCCTGGGCTCTCATTTGTTCTTCTTGAATTGAGGTCAGATCTCATTAAAGATTGCTTCTATGAGTTTACCTGGCAGATCAGCTAGGGCAACACTAGGCCCTGAAAATCTGTTTGCACTCATCACACACGTACTGGGATTGACAGTAGGTTTTAGATGAGGGGCCCTAACTCAGCATCAGTTGGAGTCAGAAACAATGAGATTATTAGCCCATTGCTAATGAACAGGAAGAATTCAATTCAGTGGGGGATCAGAGCCTATTTGTAGTTCCACAGCACTGAATGCCTAAGACCAAGCTCCTTGGGTCTTAGTTTCTCCATTTTTACCTTCTCAGGACCACAGTTAGGGGATCAAAAGACCAATGAAAATACTGTTGGGTTCGGTGGGAATCATAGTTATGTATCACATGCAGAATACATAACAAGGTTGGGACATTAAGATTCATTGAATTAAAAAAAAAAAACTGGAGCCAGGCATGGTGGCATATGCCTTTAATCCCAGCTCTTGGGAGGCAGAGGCAGGCAGATCTCTATGAGTTCAAGGCCAGCCTGGTCTACATATTGAGTTCCAGGACAGCTGGGGCTACAGGGAGACCCTGTCTCAAAAAGACCCCCCCCCAAAAAAAAAAAGAAAAAGAAAAAAAGAAAACAAAAACAAACAAACAAACAAACAAACAAACAAACAAAAAAAAAAAACCAAAAAAACTGGGGCTGGAGAGATGGCTCAGTGGTTAGGAGCACTGACGGCTCCTGCAGATGACCCAGGTTCAATTCCCAGTACCCACATGGCAGCTAACAACTGTCTGTAACTCCAGTTCCATGGGAATCCGATGCCCTTTTCTGACCTCCACCAGGCATTGCATGACATGGGTGTACTTGCAACACATACATGCAATACACTCATGCACATAAAAAAGATTTTTTAAACTACCAGTCATAGTGGTACATGCCTTTAATTCCAGTACTCAGTAGGTAGGGACAGGTGAATTTCTGTGAGTTTGAGGCCAGTCTTGTTGTCTCAAAACAACAACAACAACAAAACGAAAATAAAACCAAAAATAACAAAAACTAAGAATCTGGCTATATAATCCAGGCTGTTTTCAAAATCTTTATCATCCTGCTTCTGCCTCCCAAGTGCTAGGATTATAGGCATGCACAACTATGCCTGCTTCTCTCAATGGACTTTTACACAGAAAGTAAAAAACTTTCAAAACTGGGGCTGTGAATGTAGCTCAGTGATAGAGCATATGCTTAAGTATGTGTGGGGCTCTGGGTTTGATACCTAGTACCAAACCAAACCAAACCAAACCAACCAACCAAGCAAACAAAAACCCACCAAAAAAACCCTTTTCAAAACAGGGAACATTCTAATCATCAGTCACCAAATGGCAAAGTCCATGAACTGTAACTTTATTTTTATTTTATTTTCTATTTTATGTGTATGAGTGTTATACCTGCATGTGTGTAAGTGCACCTGTGTGGTACAGTGCCCATGGAGGACAGAAGATGGTGTCAGATCCCCTGGAACTGGAGTTACTGACAGTTAGTGTTGGGATTTGAACCTGGGTCTTCTGCAAGAACACCCAGTGTTCTTAACCACTGAGCCATCTCTCTAGCCCCTTAGTTTTACTTTTAAAAAAATTTTGAGGGGCTGGAGAGATGACTCAGCGGTTAAGAACACTGACTGTTCTTGCAGAAGCCCCAGGTTCGAATCCCAGCACCCACATGGCAGCTAACAACTGTCTGTAAGTCCAGTTCCAGGGGATCTGACAGTATCTTCTGTTCTCTGTGGGCATTGCACAACACAGGTGCACTTGCTTACATGCAGGTAATACACACATACACATAAAATAAAAATAATAAATAAAATATCTTAACATTTTTTTTATTTTTATTTTCTTAAGTGTCTGAGTCTTTTGCCTCCATATATGTAAGTACACCTGTGGTGATTTGAATGAAAATGTCCCCCATAGGCTCCAAGTATTTTGACATTTTGTCCCCACATGATGGTGCTGTTTTGGGAGGTTTTAGAAAGTATGGCTATCCTGGAGGAAGCACATCACTGGGTGTAGGCTTAGAGAATTCTTAAGCCTTGCTGAATCTCCAGTTGCTCTCTTGCTTCCTGTGCCTGTGTGATGATGTGAGAGTTTAGCTTCTGCTGCTCCTGCTCCAGCCACCTCCAGCCACCATGCCTCCCTGCCATGATGGAATGTAATTCCCCTGGAACCGTAAGCTCAAATAAACTCTTCCTCCTATAAATTGTTTTGGTCAGTGTTTCTATCACAGCAACAGAAAAGTGACTGGTACAACACCTGTGCATGTAATGCCTGTGGATGTCGTTAGATGGTATCTCCCTGGAACTGGAGTTATGAATGGTTTATTAGCCAGCATGTGAGAGCTGGGAACCAAACCTGGGTCCTCTGCAAGAGCAGCCAGTGCTCTTAACTGCTGAGCCAACTCTCCATGCCCTATTTTATTTTATTATTTTATTTTATATATTCTTTAATTTTTATATTTTATTACTTTATTATT